TCATTGCCTTGAGCATCCATGATTCCCAATGAATAGTATCCTTTTCATTTTCTTTCTGAATCTTTGGTTTATCAAAGCATATGCAAACGGGTTGACGGCAGAATTAAACATGACGGCCGTGTGAGCAATGGGAATTGCAGAGGAAGCGAGCTTGTTGGACGAAAAATACTTCAAGACGTGCAACACTGAGTCTGCTCCCCAGCATATTCCAAAGATTGCAGTGACAGCGACAACCATCAAGGTGACTCGCTTCCGCACCTTCACCCCACCCTACAAAAACAGAAACACCATTTTAAGTTATTAGCCGGCTTTTGGTAGGAAGAGGGGCGTGTTTACAGGAACAAACTATTAAGATAATAAGCGTTTCTTGATAGTTGTCTGTAAGACGTAAACCGGTAAATGTTAACTCAATAATGTAATAACGTTTTTTCTTTTTTGTATCATAAATTATAGAAAAACTGCCCTACTGTTGCCAGGGTAATGATGACAGAATAAAAGTGGCATTTATATAAACGAAAAAGGGTAGAAGTTCTTTAATTGAAGCAAAAAAGGTCTGCCAAACTTGAGGCATTTCAACCTATGGCGACTATCTTCGATAAATACGTTTTTATGATGATTTTGTCGCGTAGTTATCTAAAGACTCTTTTCACTCACGTAGCCAGCATCTATGCAAATTTATTGGAACAAAAGAAAGCGTTTGTATAAGAAATGAGTTCAACTCCTAGAGGATTGGTTTGGGACACCAGCATGGCCGCCGTGACGTCATGTGAAAACACTCTATTCGGAAACTTGTAAATTTGCATGTTGTAATGCAGGAAAGGATAAGAAATAGTAAGCGAGAGCTATACTTCATTGAAACACAGAGGTGTAGTGAAAGAACGGCATTGCCCATAAGGCGAATCAAATCATACCTTTTGTCGATTTACGACTTTGGAATTACTTGCATTTTTGAACCAGAGAGCGTAAATAACCCTGGAGTATAATCCAGTCATCAGCATAAAAGAAAGCCCAAAGAAAACACGCCATATCAAAGTGTAAGCTTTGGGCATCCACTTCTTGGTCCATGCGTAACTGCAAGTACTGCCCTCGATCTTTTTCCAGAATTCAGGGACGTTCATTATCAATGCGAGTATCCAAGAACCAGAAATGAAGATCTAAATGAGGAAAAAATGAATTTTTATCTATCAAAAAGTAATTTCGTAAAAAACATCTTCTTCAAACTCATTCTAATGTAAAGTTAAAAAGTGTCGCCATCTTCAACAGATGGAGGAACATTAAGCATATAATAATAACAATAATAATAGTAATAATGGTCTTTATTTCACATAAGATATAGATACATATCCTGTGTTACAATTGTCCGGAATAATACATAATAAAATAAAGAAAATAATCGTTGAATCCTAACTATCCTCTACTGAGGTTGTTTTTAAATATTAATCTATTTACAAATGCAGATATGAATTACTCAGTATTAGCTTTGGGACGGGCACATTGTTTTTTTACGGAGGTTATAAGAACAGACTTTCTTTGAAGGAATGTTTGGAGCGAGTGGCTGATTGTTTATAGAGGTTACTTTCTTAAAAATTTTACTGTCTTGCTATCTTAAGAGATCGTTAATTAAAACGGGGTAAGAAATAAAACGGCGCTTATGACATCTATCTGAAAAGTTCTGTATAATATTAAGATCAGGTTCAGACGCTCCATATACGGGTAAACCGTAGATAAAATTAGACAAAGCTAAAGAAGTGAAGAATAATAATACGGGACACTGAGAGATCTTTGTTGCTATCTTGTGCCTAAGTTGGTTATTTTTGGTATCATACCTTAAGTTTGCGCACGCTAAGATGTGCTTTGTTTTCAAGTGGATGCAAGACGGAATAGTAACGTTCCGTGGCGACGGCCACCAAAGTGAAGACCGAAGAAGCGCCGCCAACCCACGCCAAGGCAGCATCTGTTAGCAGGGCACACAAAATTCTTCCAGCCAGACCTTCAGGGTGACTGGCAATATGACCCCAAATGATCCTTGGTATGTAAAATAGGGCGTACATGATATCTGCGATAGCCAAGTTCGCCAGAAGAAAATTTACGGGAATCCTCAAGATTGGACAATAGAAATGATGTCATCGCGGTCTCAACCGTAAGAGTAGTCTCCCTCGCAGCCGTTTTTTTGGGGAGCGTTTCGTGACATCCATAAAACGGCAGCGAGGGAGACTACTGTACGAGTTATTTGGATTGGATGTCAACTTGACGAATTAATTTAAAGCTTCTCACTAATCTTTATGCAGTATGTAACTTTGCTAGACGAATACATTGTTATTTTCTACTCCTTCTCTTTGGGGACGGACCATTATTTTTCTGGGGTGGGGAGGGGGGGAATGAGAAATGCTGAAGAAAATTGTTTGCATGATCTGAAAAGACAAAATAAATTGTTTGCAAACGTGATAGGGTAAGAAAAAAATGTTTGCAGAGAAGCCAGGGAAAATATCAAAAATATCGT